TTTTGCATTTTACATTTAGATCTGTGGTCCATTTTGATTTGATTTTTGTGAAGGGTGTAAGTTCTATATCTAGATACTTTTTTTTTGTTTTGCACATGGATGTCCAGTTGTCCCTGCACCACTTTTGAATGACCATCTTTGCTCCATTGTATTGTCTTTGTTCCTTTGTCAAAGATCAGTTCACTACATTTATGTGACTATTTCTGGGCTCTCTATTCTGTTCCATTGAACAGGATATTGAATTATTTGTCTATTCTTTCCCCAATACCACACTGTCTTTATTACTGTAGCTTTATAGTAAGTTCTGAAATTAAGCACTGTCAGGCCACTCAACTTTGTTCTTCCCTTTCAATGTTGTGTTTGTTGTTCCGGGTCTTTTGCCTCTCCATTTAAAATTTAAGATCAGTTTTTCAATATCTACAAAATAACTTGCTGAGATTTTCATTGGAATTGCATTAAATCTATAGTTCAGGTGAGGAAGAATTGACTTGGGGATCTGGATAGCTCTCAGTTCAGGCTGAGACAGCTCAGAGTAAGAGGCTCCAGGTCTCTTGAGTTGGAGAACATGACTTCTGTGTGAGACCGAGTAGCTCAGAAAAGCTAGAGTCAGACCTCCAAACACACTGAGTGTGAGGCAGAGAACAAGGCCTGAGACAAAGTCACCCAGAGTGCCTATTAGCCTATTCTGCTACGGGGGTCAAAAGGAAACGCTGACCTCAGGGGCTGTCTTCCTTTTCATCCCTGGAGAGACTGGATACCTTATTGTCCTGAGGGGAGGGCTGGCCCTCAGAGTCACTCTCTCGGTACAAAATCTTGGACGCTACAGAGGCCTCTTCCCTCTCCGGAGCCGAGGACGGGGCGGCATGCTCATTTCCCTCCCCTCTTATGAGAGGCCAGCGGGGGAGATCCAGGAGGGGTTGGGGAGGCCCCATGGCCCCTCGCACTTGTGGGCTGCAGCTCTGCCTTCTCTTTCTCAAGATACTGCGGAGCCTTCCACCAAACCACACGGACCACCAAGCCGGGTGATCTGAGTTGCAGTGTCCACCGCGGTCCAGGGGCTCAGGTCCTAGTTCAGGGCGATGCAGGCTGGGTCTTAGAAGGATTGTTCACACCACAGGAGGAAGTGCCTATCAGGCCCAGGCCCCTGGTCGCAGCCACAAATCACCAGAGTGCTGTGAGACTCTGGCCGCACCCTTGATATTAGCGACGCCCCTGCACTCATACCCGCCCAGTTAGCCCCACAACACCCCGGGCCCCAAATCCTCTCCCCACCTCGCAGATCAGCGGGCGGCGATTGGGTTTGGGCCGCCTGCCGGGAGATGCGCCTTTCCCGGCTCCCGCGCCGCTGCAGCGGAGGGTCCCCTGCTCCTCCCCGCTGCGGAGGCCCGCCCAGGTCTTGGTCCGGGGCAGGGACCCCTCCCCGCCCCCCACCCCCAAAGCAGCAGGAGGAGTGGTTGGGTTCCTAAAGCCCTTACCATTGGAGTCTGAGAAGAGATCTGAGTCCCGGCAGGTCGGTAGAGTAACCCTAAAACGGGAACCACGGAGACCCTGATTGGCTTCTCTAGAAGCTGGACACGCAATGGGAGCGAGAACTGGGGTTACGTCATGAGTATCCAGGCAGGAGGGCCCGACACAGGTTGTGAGAGGAAGAAGTGAAACCCCGGAGACATGGGGAATCCCGGGTGGCTTGCCTCCCGCGCCCGGACACCGGTCTCCGGGCCTAAGACCCTGAAAGCCCTGCTCAGAAACCCGGAACCTGGCCCCGAGCCCTCCTCTCCTCCTGCATGGAGCACTCTTTGTTACCCTGTCTCCCTGAGTCCTGGCCCAGGGGCTGTGTCAGTCAGCAACGTACAAACTTTCGGCTTCAGAATTTCTATACACGCTTACCATTCGGCACCTCAAAGATAATTTCATTTATGTGGGTTATATCTGTCAATACTTACCATATTAGAAATTTAAATCTTAAAAAAATTGATTCAATTATAATATTAATAACCCATTACATGTTTAAAATATATATTTTTATGAAAAATTACTATTTTCAAAAAAAAAGCCTAGTGAGAAGTGTTCCCTCTAGATTTTACATTTTTTTCAAGTCTTTTTTCTTGTCTGTCTCATTAGAAAACTGATGGATTTGCATATCTGCTTCCACATTGAATCTTTTTGACTGAAGTATATGAAAAAAAAATCCAGCCTCACACAAATATGTAGGGGAAATATAACGTTTTCAGATAATTGTGGTTATTCATCTTTGATGCTCTACTAAAACTACACAAGCTTATTTTGCAATTTGGAACTTGAAACTATCACTGAATATTTCCAAATTTTCTGTATAAGAATCCAAAGGTCTATCTTGTGCACTGAATAAATCTTATACTGATGCATGATTATTAAAAGTAATGCATTGCTTCACCAAACTGTATACATCTTACAGTGTTAACATTTAGTTAAGATTATCAAAAATCATATTTGTTAATATTACCACAGATTCCAATAGAATGGTTTGTTAGTACTGGGAACTGTCAAGATCAATTTTCTCATGAGAACTTATATTTTATCACTGGCAATAAATACTGCCAATTAACTAAGTCTAATATGCCAAATAACTCATTCATTATACCAAATAACTAACTCTAAATCATCATAGTACTTTGTCCTTCATTCTTAAAGTAAAAATGGCATTCTATAAAAAAGAGGCTAGGTCAACTTAGAAAAATTGTTTTCCTTGAAACACAGTACTTTAGAACATAGCAGAGGTATTTTGTATGTACTTCCCATTTCATATCAGATATTCTAAAATGTGGACTCAAGAATGATGATTTAATAAAGTTAATAATTTTTAATACTACACCCAGGTATTTTTTCAGTGAAACTTGCTTTTTTATTCTCCAATTAAATGGTGGTGAAGAATACAATAACCACTATTGCTGTTTCGTCAAGTAGCCTCTATTCCTGCTAAGTTTTACCTCAGTGCAAATGTCAACACAGTGAAAAAGGTAAGTGAATTCTTGGTAATGTTATGAAAACAGTTTTGATCTCACGGATCCCATGGTAGGGTCTCAGTGACTTCAAGGGTTCCACAGACCACACTTTGAGAACTGCTCTTCTGAGTAAACCAGCGGGACTACAAAATGGCACCCACCTCTTTGCCTCCTCTTTGCATCTCAGAATCCCTCTCCCTGAGCTGGACTCCCTGCCTCCCAAACCATTGCTTAGGGCTCTGCCTCTTGGCTCTTCTAAAAGACAACTTACCCCCTAGAAATCTGCCAGAGAGTGCCTCAGTCTAGGAGGGAGTTGGAGGACAGTTGTTTCCCCTTCAGAACTGGGAAGAGTTTATGCCTGAAGGCACCGGAGGAAAATTCATTCATGACCCATTTTGGTTTTGTTCATACCATATCCCAGAAAGAAATCAGATGCAGTCTGTATGAGAAATAATATTGGCCCTTTGCTTTTAAATGGGTCTAATACACCTTATTTGAGGCCTACAAAGCATCAATAATAGTGCTGTTCAATAGAACTTTCTGTGATGAAGAAATTGTTCTAAATCTGCACTTCCCATATGGTAGGTAGCTACTGAGCATTTGACATGTGGCTAGTGTCACTGAGCAGGTGAATTTTTATTTTCTTTAATTTAAATTTAAATATTCATATGTGACCAGTAGCTATCATATTCGACAGAGCATATCTAGAGTGTTTTAGTTTTCAATCTCCCGCCTCAAGAAGATACTGTATGGCTTATACATTGAAATACATTAAAATTATCTTGTATGGAAGCCATAGATTTGTCCATATGGGTCTTAGACATATCCTTAAAATACAGCACTCCCAAGAAAGTTTAATTAATATGTATTTTAATATCTAGAGTATACAGACATTAGCAAAAACAGAATCTATCACTTCAAAGTCATCAGTATTCAAAAATACCCATCACTGGAACTAATTCTTGTCTATATTACATTGAGACTTGATGTCATTTTCGTTAACCTGGTAAACATCAGCAAGCACATAAGTCTTCACTTAGCCCACGAGAAAGTATTTATTGAATGCTCCATATATAAAACACCTTGTAGGCCCTGTGCATAATTACACAATTATAAAACAGAAGACATAAGCCTTAGAATTCCACCACCTTAAAGTTCTTTATCTATCGTTCCTCCCCATACTTCCCCCCAAATTCATGTTTCTCTGTTTCCCTTCTCCCTTGGACTCCACTCTCTTCATCCTCTCCACCTAGATAAAAATACACATGAAATTTTCACAAATGTAGAATGAAGAATTTTTCTAATCATAACCCCAAGATGAAAAATCACAAAGAAAAAAAGTAATACTTTTCTATGGCAACCACAAACTCACAGGCATGCAAACAAATGTCATAATTAAACTCCAAGTTACCAAAAAAGAAAAAAAAATCTGACCGACAAAAGGTTAGTATGTGTCAGTATTCTTCACCCAAAGACTACCAGGAACTCACCTAGTTGAATACATGGTATTTACTACTTGATGCAGCAAGAGAGTAAGCACACCATGGGAGCCATAGGGCATCTTAGAATGAGGGCATTAGAACGAATGCATTATTGTGGGCTTTGGGCTTTGGCTAGATAATTTGGGGAAGGTTAAGAAACAGGGGTTCACTCTAAATTGAGTATTGCCAGGAAGCAAGGTCAATTATATGACTGGGTGGCCTAATCAGTCTTACCTATATGGAGGGCAGACTAGAGCAAGGATAAAGCAGCAATTGGTTAAGAAGCAGCCATCACTCATGTTACCCAGGACAGGGAGATGTTCAACACTTTGTGAGTTGCACAGCGCCCTGTTTTCCTCTGTGCTTAAACATAATGATGTAATAGCCTTGTTTTGTGTCACTTTATCATGGTCTCAGTGTATCTTTGCCTAATGTTGGTATTTTGTGAGACGGTTTATGTCAAAGAAGAGAATAACATGGCCTAGCTGGGAGCAGCAGGCCAGCTTTAAACAACACTGAGATCCAGCTGTAAGTGTCACACTTGTTTCCTGGGGTCAGGGGCCAGCTTTTGTGGCTGCCACCAAGATGATGCACCACTTGATCATCTGGCTCTGGTGGCCAGCAGGGCTTCTATTCACAGTCCCACAGGATAGTAGCAAACAATGAAATGGTTCTTAAAACAGGTATGCATGCTCCCCATCCCTCCACCCAGCACACGGAAATGCCCATCTTCCAGTCCTTCCCTAAAAAAAGGTCTATTTGCATACCTTAAAAGCCACTGCCTAAGAGTCTGGCTTCCAATCAGCCTGCATGTGGATGCTGAGAGCCTCTCCTCTGGGACACTGACAGGTCTTCGCATCCCCTCAACTAACTAGTACCCACTAAGAACAAAGAAGGCAGCTTGGACGATCAGAAAGCTTTCAGATGACCAAGAGCCAGGCTGAATGATAAGGTTCATTTTTTCAAGAGACAACTCCACCGAGGCTGAGAGAGGTGGCTGTTTTAGCTAATGTGCAGAACCCAACACAGAGAATCAAGGAAAATGAGGAAACAGAAGGATATGTTACAAATAAAAGAATAACATAAAACTCCAGAAATAGACCTTTAAAAAGGAGGTAAGTGATTTACTTGATAAAGAGCTCAAAGTAATGGTCATAAAGATGCTCACTGAGCTCAGGGTAAGTACAGATGAACAAAGTGAGAATTTCAACTAAAGAGATAGAAAATATAAGAACGTACTAAACAGAAATCACAGAGATGAAGAACATAACAAATGAACTAAAAAATTCAATAGAGGAGTTCAAGGGCAGACTAGATCAAGTGGGAGAAAAAAATCAGTGAACTTGAACACAGGGTAGAAGAATTCATTTAATCAGAGAAGCAAAAAGAAAAAAAGAGTGAAAAAGAGCATGACAGAATATTGAAACACTATCAAATGACCCTATGTCACATTAGGGTCCCAGGAGGAAAAGAAAGAAAGGGGAAGAAAACTTTTTCAAGAAATAATGGCTGAAAATTTCCCTAACCTGGGGAAAAAAACAGACATCCAGATCCATGAAGCCCAAAAAGTTCCAAAAAAAGATAAATCCAAAGAGACCCATACTAAGACCCACTGTTAATTGTTAAAAATTAAAGAAAGAATCATAAAAGCTGCAAGAGAAAATGACTTGTTATGTACAAGGGAACCCCCATAAGATTACCAGCAGATTTTTCACCAGGAAATTAGCAGGCCAGAAGAGAACAATATGAAATATTCAGTGCTGGAAGAAAAAAAAGTGCCAACCAAGAATATTCTATCATTTTACATTCCTACTAGAAGTAGGTAAGTAGTATGGTGATCTGTGATCAGTAATCTTTGGTGTTACTATTACAAAAAGGTTACGCCTCACTGAAGGTTCACATGATGGTTAGCACTTTTTAGCAATAAAGTATTCTTAATTAATGTAGGCACTATTTTTAGCACACTTACTACTACAGTAAGTTTAAACATAACTTCTATATGCACTGCGAAATGAAAAAATTCATCTGATTCACTTTTTTGAAAAATTATTGCAGTGGTCTGGAACTAAACCTGCAATATCTTCAAGGTATGCCTGTATGATATTAGCCGTGGGCTTTTCATAAATGGCCTTTATCATGTTGAACTAGTTTCCTTCCATTCCTAGCCGGTTAAGTGTTTTTATCATTAAAGGGTGTTTAACTTTGTCAAATGCTTTTTCTGTATCAATTGAGGTAACAATGTGGATTTTGTTGTTGTTGTCATTCTGTTAATGTGGTTGACTTCTGCATGCTGAACCATCATTGGAGGAATTCCAATCCACTGAAGGAATAAAGCCAACTTAATCATGGTGCA